AGTCGAAAGGTCCATTGCTTCGGATCTTCTTGCTAGTTTTTAGAATTTATTCTCCTAGTCCCCACAGACGGCACCAACTGTTGAACCAGAGAATCAGCACTAGGGTTTTGATTAACAGTTGTGAGTTTTGGAGAATAAGATCTTCATTAATAGCTTATAAGATGAAGCGATTACAAAGGTTGGTATAACCGAAGGGTTATGCCAAAGTGAAAGTATTTGCGAGATAAACTAGAAAGCGTTGGAGTTTCTGGTTTAGGCTCTGCTGCTCTCTAGATTGTATGAGTTGTTCCTTTTGAACTTTGGGGCCTTCTTATTTATAGGAATAGGAGGTTGGTCGCTCCGAGCTCCTCTTTCTTTTATCCTTCGGTGAATATTTTCATATTTGTGATATGGAAATATCTCTTATTCTCCGAAGAATATAGAAATTCTCCTTTATCCTTTGAGTTGATCCGATGCTTCCGGACTTCAAAGATTATCTTTAAGAGTTTTCCTTTTTTCGAGCTTGGTCAGCGTGATCCTCCTGGTATGGGCTTAGATTATTGCTAGAGAAAACATTTTAAGAAATATACTCATTTTCCCTCTAACAGTGATTATTCTGAAAAGCTCTGATTTTGCCAAAATCATTTTGGCATCAGTTCGTATCACTTATGATCAGCCTATGCAACTTGTTTGTGATTGTAAAGCTCTGTTCGTTTGGTAATCTGGCAACCACTCCAGATGTAGATACATGATGTTGTTCGTTTTGCAACAATCAATCATAAAAACTAGATGCAGTAGTTAGATCCAACTATCAACTCATAAAAAAAAAACCAGATAATTTAGATGCAAATGAAAGTAGAGTCTAGATACAAATATCTCATCCAAAATTGTAAATGTCCAAAATAATCATATCTAATTTAAACAATTACGTATCAATATATCCTAAATAATAAATTTCATATAAACCCTAAACTCTAAAAATTCCCAAAGTTCATTTTTCCACCAAAACCTAAAACCACATATCATTTTTTCAACAAAACCCATATATTATACTTTTGCCAAAATCATAACGTTTCGTTTTCCTGCCAAAACCATAAAATTCAGTTTTCCCGCCAAAACTGTAAAATTACGTTCTTCCGCCAAAACTATAAAATTACGAGAAAACCGTAAAATTTTGTTTTCCTGCCAAAACCGTAAAATCACAAGAAAATCATAAAATTTCATTTTTATGACAAAACCATAAAATTCTGGTTTTTCCACTAAAACTGTAAAATTACGTTTTTTCACAAAAACCATAAAATCACAAGAAACCCGTAAAATTCTATTTTTTTTACAAAACTGTAAAATTCTGTTTTTCCACAAAACTATAAATTTTTGAAGATTATTTGTTTTTAATAAAAATTATTTAAAATTTGTATTCTCGCAAAAACAGTAAAATACATTTTTTTAGTCTTTTTATTGTTAAGTGCATCCAGATACAAATACATATACACAAACAAACATGAACGTATCGTGTTACAATATTTAAATATCTATTACTAATAAAAGTTGATGCTAAATGCCTCTAAGAGTGTCTACATAGGATTTAAAAATTCAATTCTATTGGTACACATCATCATTATTTTTAGTTTATTATATATTGTATATTAAAATTAATTAATTTGTTTTGATTGTTACAAGAAAAATTTCTAAATTTTAATTAATTTTGTTTTTGTTGTTATTAGAAAAGTTTCTAAATTTTAAGTTAGTTATTAATAAAAAAGAGTTTTGAAAATAGATCTTATTTTATTAACAATAATAGGTAAATTAACATATAAATACCTTATGAAAAAATCATATATATTAAACAAAATTATTAAAAACTGTATTTGATACCATAATTAAATTATTTTAAAATTTTAATCACGACAAACAATTAAAATCAGAACTGCTGACTTAAAACATATTAGTTATGCTCTGTGTTTATGTCTTAGGCCAATGAGAGCGTCCACATAGGACATATATAGTCAATCTGATTAGTGTATATCAGCGTTTTCTATTAAACATAAAAAATAAAAATTATTATTATTATTATCACAACAGAATGGAAAATTAAGATAATTTTTTAACTAATTAAAATAAATTTATGTAAAAAGTCTAAATCTATTGTGAAAATAAAATAGAAACTCGTTGTCAGAAAAATTAAACTAACAAAAACAAATATGTAAATCAATAACGAAAAAGTTAAATTAAAATTTTGTTTTAGCATATATATTTTAAATGAATAATTTATTTAGAAAAATATTAAGATTAAAATTTCATATAAACATATAAAATTGTTATTTAAAAATATCAATACTACCAAAAAAAACATTCATCTTAAATTATCAAAAAAGAAAGTCATCTAAAACTTAAAATTTTTAGAAAAATATTAAAAAAATTAACACAAAAATCTTAACAACCAAAAATGACACTTTATGCTAATTACTGAAGAAAGTAATATAAAAAATGTTTAACTAACAAAAACCAAAACATAAATTATTTCTTACAACATGTCAATATAATTAAAATGAAAGTCCATATCGTGAAAATTAAATTAACAAAAAAGAGGACATTACCTTAATATCTATGTTATTTATTTAACAAAATCAATATAAATAGAATAAGTAAGAGAATAAAAAACTTAACTAACAAAAATCATATAAATATCTAAGCTAATTATTTAAGAAATCAATATTAAATAATTAATTAACTAAAAAACTAAAACCAAAATTAAGTTTTACAAAATATTTTTTTTAAAACACTTAAAAATATATTGACTTGATATCTGACTAACTACTTAAAAAATTCATATAAAAATATTTAATTAACAAAAAGATTATGTCTTCAAAATATCAATATTTTAAAAACAATGGTGTGTTAAAATAAAATAAAAATTAATATCAAGAGGGGTAAATTATTAAAGGAAAAATTCATATAAAGTAAAATTATCTTGATATTTAGGCTAACTACCAAACCAATATTAACTAAAAAAAACAAATGATGGTATAAATTTTTGAGAAAAGTTCACTTAAAATTTAGACTAACCAGTTATAGCATGTCAAAATAGCATTTTAATTAATTTTAAAACTAAATTTAACAAAGAAAAAGCATTTATATAAAAGATATTAGATTAATATATATGCTACCTATTTGAAAAATCAATAACAAAAAATATTAGTTAAAAATATATATGTTTTAAGTATATCAAACCTGCAGAAAATTAGATAATTAAAATAAAATATAAAATTACCGTCGAAGATATTCAAAATAACAAAAATAAGATCTAAGAAGAAAATTAGTTTGAAATATAGTTCCAAAAACATTCATGATTTCTAAAATATTGGTGTTGACTATGAATAACTATATAAAATTTTAATAGATTATACAGGTTTCTAAACCAAACATATTATTTAAATTTACAAAGATTAATATCTTGGTTGCATCTAGTTAGAAAATTAACAAAGTAAAATACTACATAAGTAACTTTACATTCAAAATATAATAAGTACTAATGTCTGATTTATATACATATTTACTGCTTATAACTTAGTTAACATGAACAACACATGAGCAACATCCTCTAAAATTTTATTTAAATAATATAGTATGACAAAGTTATGAATCAAATTCAAATGGGAATATATGAAGATAAAATACTCAAATCAAAACATGAATAAACACACAAAAGATAAAAAAACAATGATAATGTGAAGTCCCAACATCATCTTACATGTTTAAAAACAAATATTAGCAAATAGTTGAATACAAATAAAACAGATCTTATAAACTGAATAAAGATATAACCTAAAATTCATAGAAGATCTGGTGGAGAAGCAAAAAGTAACTTAACATGATTAGTGTAGCTTACTAACAAAAGTAAATCTGAATCAACATATACCATATATTATATATGTATATTTACACAATATTAGTGAGACATTTAGTAAAGAACCTAAATATTTAAACATATAAACCTTTTTAAAAAAGAACAATAGAAATCCTAAGGATACAAAATAAAACACCAAAAATTTAGTAAGGAAATCATTTTCTAAATCAAACATATGCACATCAAAGTTGGATAATTCGTTAGGTGTCATTACTATGATTTTACTTAATAAGATTTATAATTTTATAAACAACAATAAGAAATACTACATATTATGTTTTAATTTTTTATATAAAATAAAATTTTTATAAATATATTATAGTTTTGATAATTTAAAAGATGTTAGCCAAAAAATTAAACCAAATTATTAATACAGACTCGCGCGTAGCGCGAACGCGAATTAAAAGCCTAGTATTAATCAAAAACACAAATGAACAACATATGGATGCTGCTCCAAACATGGTATTTGAATGTTGTATCCAGACGCTATGTCTAGATGAGGAAACGAACATAGCCTAAATCCGTTCTTTATATTGCAGCAATCTAGTATTTCATGAGCATACTAAACATATTGAATATGATTGTCATTTCATTCACGAAATCACTACTGGTAATATTGCTAATTCTCATGTTCATACTACATAGTAACCAGCTGAAATTTTTATTAACAGCAATTCAAATTTCTAATGAACAAATTGGGCATTTATAATGTATGTTAAGATTAGAATATTTGTTTTATTATTTATGTATATATAACAATATTATAGGGGATATCTAAGAGCATCAACATTTAGAGAGCTGAGGAGAGAAGCTCTTAAAATAAATTTATTGTTAATTTTTTTTTTATAAAAGAAGTCGATTTTCAAAAAAAAAAAATCTAACGAATTGCGTCTCGCCACGTTATAGGAGAGACGCTCCTACAACTTTTGTGCAGAGAGGCGATTCTGAGTATCAGTCTTGTCACATCATTTTTTTTTCCTTTAAAACCTAGCTAAAACTGACCATTACAGATGCTTTAAAACTATCCCTACTGATAAAACTCCAATTAGGGTTCTTAATAAATTTTTAATATAATTTTTTATTTTAAGAACTTGATAGAATTTTTTTTTCTCTTTCAGTGATATAACTCCATTAAAGATTCTTATGAATAAAAAAAATTCAATAAAGAATTATGGAAACTTTCGGCTAGTGAAATAACCGGGCTGTTTCGGGTGAGGGAAAGAACCATCACTCCTAAACATCAAGACAACAGAAGCCATGTTTGGTCTGTCTTCTGGTTTCTGTTGTACACAAAGCAAAGCCACATGTATACATCTCCAAACCTCTGAGACGACACATGTCTCTTCCAACAAATCTTCCTCAGATACTTCTATTGCTCTCCCTTCAACCCACAGTTTCCACACCTAGTATACAAAGAAGGAGATAGCAGCTTTCAAGGTTTTTCACTAAAGAAAAAAGTATTCAATTCAAGAAATGATCTAAAAATGTCGGAATCCATTTACTTACGTGTCCAAGAAGATTAAGAATATTGTTTGCTTGGCTAAAGGGCCTTCACTTTATCAACGGTGCAAACAAAAATCCTTTTTTCTAATTTCAAACTGATTGCAACAACTTCAATTTGTATCAATATCTACTATAATCCAAACAGGAAGGCACCAAAATACAGATATCTTATGATCCAAATAAGAGCTTGCAAACTCCTACGAGTGAGATTACACAATCACTTAAAACAGAATTTACCGCTGCACAAACTAAATCAAATGCAGAATATTGTTTGTTCGTGGGGCTAAAAGAACATCTATTCATCTTATATCCACAAGCAATACACCAAAAGATAGCAATCATCTAATCACATATCCACGTTAAACTAAGTTAATATTGAGGATGTCTATATCTATATATGGCAATGACTTTAACTGTACATGACTCAACCCTATTCTCATACTTGTAGCTCTGTATATATATATAAACCTTCTCTAATAATAGGGGTATATTTAGTCTCTACATGGTATCAGAGCAAAGTCGATCCTAAAACCTAAATTTTTCCTCAGCCGTCACACCAAAACACCATGACTGAAACAATCATTTTAAACACTAATGCTCTCCTTCACATCAACATGACGAATGTCACTAAACTAACCGCAACCAACTACCTGATGTGGAGTCTCCAAGTACACGCCTTGCTTGATGGACACGCTCTCGCCAATCACCTTGATGAAGCTGCTGCGGTTCCACCAGCCACTCTAACGGTTGCAGGGGTGGCCACTGCAAATCCTGCTTACACGCAGTGGAAACGGTAAGATCAACTTATTTACAGTGCTCTCTTAGGGGCCATTTCCACACCTCTACAACCCATGGTGTCCCTTGCGACAAGCTCCTCCAAGATCTGGTCGAAACTCGCATCTACATATGCGAAACCCAGCCGTGGACATATCAAACAACTGAAGACACAACTCAAAAACTCGACGAAAGGTACAAAAACGATTGATGAATACTTACAAGGCATAACAATGAAGATGGATCAACTTGTAATCCTAGGGAAACCGATGGATCATGAAGATCAGCTTGAGCAAATCCTTGAGGGTCTCCCTGAAGAGTATAAAACGGTTGTTGATCAGATTGAGGGAAAAGACACCCCTCCGTCAATCACAGAAGTTCACGAACGATTGCTAAACCATGAAGCGAAACTCCTTTCTAACTCTGAAGCTCTCTCTTCCACCATTCCTGCTTCTGCAAATGCGGTTCAGCACAAGCCAAACACAAACTACAACAACAGAAACAACACCACTAGCAACAACTATCAACGTCGCTACAACAACAATTGGCAGCCACAAAAACACAACAATCGCAATGAAACAAGGGGTTCTCGTCCTTACCTTGGCAAATGCCAGATCTGTGGCACTCAAGGACATTCTGCTCGCTGTTGCCCTCAATTCTCTCGCAACCAACAACCGATGCAACATCAAAGCCCGTTTACACCGTGGCAACCTCGGGCTAATCTCGCAAGTGGCTCCCAGTACACAGCCAATAACTGGCTCCTCGACAGTGGTGCCACCCACCATATCACGTCTGACTTACACAACCTTTCCCTTCACCAGCCTTACAACGGTGGCGAAGACGTGATGATTGCTGATGGCTCTAGTCTTCCTGTTACTCATATTGGTTCCACTCTCTTCCCCTCTTCTACTCGTGCGCTATTACTGAATAAAATCCTATGTGTTCCAGACATCAACAAGAATCTTATATCAGTATATCGCTTGTGTAATACTAATAAAATATCTGTAGAATTCTTTCCTGCATTCTTTCAGGTGAAGGATCTGAGCACGGGGGTCCCATTACTCCAAGGCCGAACTAAGAACAAACTCTATGAATGGCCGGTGTCTCCTCAAGCTGCTTCCCTTTTTGCATCACCGGGTCCCAAACCGTCTCTCACAATGTGGCATTCTCGCTTGGGACATCCCTCTTTTCCCATTTTGCAATCTACTCTTTCAAAGTTTTCTCTTCCTATCTCTTCTACTTCTAGTAAAACCTTGTCCTGTTCCGACTGTTTCATCAATAAAAGCCACCGGCTACCATTTAAACAATCTTCTATTGTCTCTGAAACACCTCTACAATACATATACACTGACGTCTGGTCCTCTCCTATACTCTCAAACGAAAACCAGAAATACTATCTTGTTCTAATTGATCACTTCACTAGATACACCTGGCTCTATCCCCTCAAACGAAAATCAGACGTCAAGATCACATTCATTACCTTCAAATCCCTTGTCGAGAATCGCTTCAAACAGAGAATTGGGACCCTTTACTCCGATAATGGTGGAGAATTTCTGGCCTTGAGAGAGTTCTTGGCAACAAGCGGGATTAGTCATTTCACATCTCCTCCGCATACACCAGAACATAATGGAATCTCAGAGCGGAAACATAGACATATTGTCGAAATGGGACTTACGCTACTCTCCACTGCGTCGATGCCGAAGATGTATTGGCCGTATGCCTTTGCTACGGCAGTTTATCTGATCAACCGCTTACCCACTCCGGTGCTATCTCTGGATTCACCATACAAGGTACTCTTTGGTACCAACCCCAACTACACTAAACTTCGCGTCTTCGGGTCTCTTTGCTTCCCATGTCTTCGCCCATATAACCGTCACAAACTGGAAAATAGATCCTCACCGTGTGTGTTCTTGGGATACTCACTAACCCAGAGCGCATACTATTGTCTGCACCTTCCTACGGCTCGGCTCTACATCTCACGCCATGTTCAATTTGTGGAACACATTTTCCCATTCTCCGAAGCATTGACACCAACGATTTCAGCGATTCCATCTCAACCCGTTCTTGATTGGATGACAACGGAAATTCCCAACTCCACGGTGACCCCGTCGTGCTCAGATTCTCACCCTGCGACGACACCAACACCGACGACATTGCAACCTCCGACCACCTCCACACAGGTATTGCCTTCTAACCCTTCGTCTCTGTCCTCCGTCGAGCCCACTGCTCAAAGACAAAATGGGCCGACACCCACGGCCCAGATACCCCATATTTTCCCAGAGCCCACTGCTCCACCTCAAAATGGGTCTCAGCCCCAGGCCCAGCAATCCCAACCACAAACACAGCCCATACTCAATAATCGCTCATCCTCCTCAACCTCTCTCCGATAAAAAAACTGCGATAACATACAAACGTCGTACAAAACGTTCACACCCATACCCGACTACCCAAAGACCACCAAATCTCCATAATATGCGAACCCGAGCCAAAGACAGCATCGTTAAACCTATTGACCGTCTCACTCTCACCGTTTCTACTGTCAAATCAGCTAATCATGAGCCACTTACAGTCGCTCAAGCGTTGCAGGATGAATATTGGCATCGAGCTATGTCGGAGGAGTATAATGCTCAGCTTACTCACTATACCTGGGATCTAGTTCCTCCAGGTCCAAATCAGAATGTGGTGGGTTGCAAATGGGTATTCACATTGAAGTATCACCCAAATGGAGACCTACAACGTCACAAGGCCCGTCTCGTCGCTAAGGGATTCACTCAACAGTATGGGGTTGACTACTCTGAAACCTTTAGCCCCGTCATCAAATCCACGATTATCAGACTTGTTCTTGAAGTTGCAGTTACAAAATCATGGCCTATCAAACAGTTGGATGTTAATAATGCATTCCTCCAAGGCAATCTCACAGAGGAGGTATTTATGAGCCAACCGCCTAGTTTTGTTGACAAAGACAGACCTCACTATGTGTGCCGCCTGCGTAAACCCATCTACGGACTCAAACAGGCACCGCATGCGTGGTACAATGCTCTTAAACAACATCTCTTCGCCGCTGGATTTGTCAAATCTGTAGCTGACACCTCTCTGTTTATTCAGAACAGAGTCTCCTCTATCACGTATGTTCTCGTCTATGTCGACGATATAATTGTCACAGGAAGTAATGCTGCGATAGTATCTGAAGTTCTTCATAGCTTCTCCACGCGATTCTCAATCAAAGATCCCACGGACCTTCACTACTTTCTGGGAATTGAAGTAACACGGACTTCTACGGGTCTTCATCTGATGCAAAGAAAATATATTATTGATCTTCTTGCGAAGACCAACATGACTGACGCTAAAGCCGTATCGACTCCCCTGCCTACATCTCCGAAACTCACTCTACATGACAGCTCCCCTGCAACTGACGCCGCTCAATACCGCTCTGTTGTAGGAAGCCTGCAATACCTCGCCTTCACCAGACCGGACATATCCTTCGCGGTCAACAGGCTCTCCCAATTCATGCATCAGCCAACGGTGGCTCACTGGCAGGCTGCAAAACGGGTCCTCCGCTATCTCGCCGGCACAGTCACGCATGGAATTTTCATCAAAGCAGCAACACCACTCACACTTCATGCTTTCTCTGACGCTGATTGGACTGGTGACACAGATGACTACATCTTTACAAATGCGTACATCGTCTACCTCGGTAGCAATCCTGTCTTGTGGTCTTCTAAGAAGCAACGCGGTGTTGCTCGATCGTCCACTGAAGCTGAATACCGCTCCATTGCCAACACGTCATCTGAGGTACGTTGGATCTGCTCCCTCCTTACGGAACTCGGGATATCTCTGCCTTGTGCACCAACTATCTTCTGCGATAACATTGGCGCTACTTACTTGTGTGCAAACCCGGTGTTCCATTCTCGAATGAAGCACATCGCACTCGATTACCACTTTATTCGGAACCAAATACAAGCTGGAACTCTGCAGATGTCTCATGTCTCTACGAAAAATCAGCTGGCTGACGCTCTCACAAAACCTCTACCACGACAACAATTTCAGCGAGCATGCTCCAAGATTGGAGTGTCAAGAGCCCCTCCATCTTGAGGGGGCGTATTGAGGATGTCTATATCTATATATG